TGAGTACAGTGAAAGAGATGGATGTGAGACATGCAGAAATAGAATTGGCAGGATTCACCAGCAGATTGAAAATGGATAGTGAAGCAGAGGAAAGAGTTGAGGATGAATATGTGCTTACATAGCTGAGTGACTGGAAGGATCGTGATGCCCTTAAGAGAAACAGGAACGTGTCAAGGAGCGAGTGAGAGAGAGGAATGTGATTCCATTGAGTATGAGGAGCCCAGTTTGAAAAGTCCAATAGATGGTTGGTGATGGCACATACTGGAACTCAAGAGAACAGAATAGATATAAATAAATAGATATGCAGAACAGATATATAAATCTGGAAATAATTTGCTAGAAATTATAATTCAACCCATAGGAGCTGATGATATGACTGATGAGATGCGAGGTTAAAAAGAAAAAAAAAGAGTAAAGGACTCAAGTCAAAGCCTTGGGGTATACCCACATTTAGTAGACATGACAATAATAGAGATCTAGCTAAAGGAGACTGAGAAGTAGTTAAACGTGTGGGAGGAGAAGCAAGAGATAGACATGTCATGAAAAGCTAAAGAGGAAAGAATATCCCAGAGGAGGAATGATCAGCAGTATAAGATGTTTCAGGGAAGTTAAGAAGAATGAGGACTGAGAAGAGGAAGAAGGTTTTAAAGGGATTAAGAGGAGAGGAATTAGGGCTTTCTAAAGGAATTTGGCTGAGAAGGGGAGGAGACATATAGGATGATAAATAGTAGGAAAGGTAGGACCTAAGGAAGGCTTTTTGAGGGTAGTGGGGACTTGGGCATGCTTGTAGACAACAGAGAAGGAGCTAATAGATTGGGAAAGATCAAAAGATTAGAGAGGAGTAGAAATGATGGTTGGGGCAATCTGCTAAAAAGAACAAGAAGGGATATGCCCAAGGGTACAGGGAAGGCTTCTAGTTTATCCACCTTCTAGATAATGCTTGCTAATGGTTTTAGATAGCAGAGTGGGTAGAGTGCTGGGCCTGGAGTTAGAAAGACTCATCTCCCTAAATTCAAATCTGGCCTCAGACACTTACTACCTGTGTGATCCTGGGCAAGTCACTTAAACCTGTTTGCCTTAGTTTCCTCATCTGTAAAATAATCTGGAGAAGGACATGGCAAACCACTGCAGTATCTTTGCCAAGAAAACTCACAAATGGGATCATGAATAGTTGGACACCACTGAAAAATGTCTGAACAACAGCACACTTTTCATTTTAAGGAGAGCTCCATTTTATTCCTATGCTTTCTAGTGTTTTTTTTTTGAATAGGAATGAGCATTGCATTTCGTTGAAAGCTTTTTCTGCATCTATTAAGATAATCATATGATTTTTGCTTTTGTTATTGATATGGTCAATTATGCTGATAGTTTTCTTATTATTAAATCAACCCTGCATGCCTGGTATAAATCCCACCTGGTCATAGCATATGATCTTTGTGATATAGGGCTGTTCTCTCCTTGCTAGTATTTTATTTAACATTTTTGCATCAATATTGATTAAGGAAATTGGTCTATAGTTTTCTTTCTCTGTTTTAGCTCATCCTGGTTTAGGTATAAGCACCATAAAAGGAATTTGGTAGGACTCCTTCTTTGCCTATTTTTCAAAATAGTTTATATAGTATTAAAATTGATTGTTCTTTAAATGTTTAAGAGAATTCACCTGTGAATCCATCTGGTACTGAGGATTTTTTCTCAGGGAGCTCATTGGTGCCTCATTCAATTTCTTTTTTTTTTTTAATGCAATTGAGGTTAGGTGACTTGCCCAGGGTCACACAGCTAGTAAGTGTCATGTGTTTGGTTTGAGGCTGGATTTGAACTGAGATCCTCCTGACTTCAGGGCCAGTGCTCTGTACACTGCACCACCTAGCTGGCCCCTCAATTTCTTTTTCTAAGATAAGGTTATTTAACTATTCTACTTTCTTTTCTGTGGATTTATGTTTTTGTAAATATTCATCTATTTTACTCAGATTGTTGGATTTATTGGTATGTCATTAGACAAAACAGCTCCTAAAAGTTGTTTAATTTCATCTTCACTGGTGGTGAATTTACATTTTCATTTTTGTTACTTGTAATTTGGTTCTTATTTGTTAAATCAAACTAACTGATTATTTATTTTATTATTTTTAAAAATAAAACAGTTTCTGGTTTTATTTGTTAGTCAATGGTTTTCTTACTTTCAGTTTTATTAATTTCTCTTTTGATTTTTAGGATTTCCAATTTGGTGTTTAGTTGGAGAGTTTTAATTTATTCTTTTTTGATTTTTTTTTTGTTGCATGACTAAATCGTTGATCTACTCTTCCTCTATTTTATTGATGTAACCATTTAGAGATATAAAATTTCCTCTAAGTACTGTCCTGACCGTATCCCATAAATTTTGGCACATCTTCTCATTGTCATCCTCTTTAATGAAATTATCAATGTTTCTATGATTTGTTCTTTGACCCACTCAGTCTTTAGGATTAGATCTTTTAGTTTCCAATTAGTTTTAATCTATCTTTCCATGTTTTTTTAATTGAATATAATTTGTATTGCATTATCATCTGAAAAGGATGTGTTTAATATTTCTGCTTTTTTGCATTTGGTTATGAAGTGTTTATGCCCTAATACTTGGTCAATTTTTGTGAAGGTGCCATCTACAGCTGACAAAAAGGTATACTCTTTTCTATTCCCACCCAGCTAGGTGACACAGTGGATAGAGCGCTGGGCCTAGAGTCAGGAAGACACCTCTTTGTGAGTGCAAATCCAGTCTCAGACACTTGCTAGCTGTGTGACCCTGGGCAAATCATTTAATCCTGTTTGCGTCAGTTCCTCATTTTGCAAAATGATCTGGAGAAGGAAATGGCAAACCACTCCAGTATCTTTGCCAAGCAAACCCAATGTTGGACAGGACTGAAAAATGACTCAGAAGCAACAACTATCACTCTAACTTTTCCAAAATTCTATTCATCTCCTTACTTTCTTTCTTGTTTATTTTATGGTTAGATTTATCTAGTTCTGAGAGGGGAAAGTTGAGTTCCCCATCTAGCATAATCATTTTTCCTTCAAGAATTTGGATTACTTCAGGAAGTTTTCAGATGAAGAAATTAAAGCTGTCTATAGTCATATGAAAAAATGATTTAATCAGTATTGATTAGAGAAATGCAAATCAAAACAACTCTGAGGTACCACATCATACCTATCAGATTGGCTAACATGATAAAACAGGAAAATGATAAATACTGGAGAAGATGCAGGAAAATTGGAACATTAATGCATTCTTGGTGGGGTTGTGAACTGATCCAACCATTTTGGAGAGCAATTTGGAACTATGCCCAAAGGGCTATAAAAAGGTGCATACATACCCTTTGACTTAGCAATAGCACTTCTAGGGATGTATCCCAAAGAGATCATAAAAAGGGAAAAGGACTCTCGTGTACAAAATATTTATAGCAGCTCTTTCTGTGGTGGCAAAGAATTAGAAATTGAGAGGGTGCTCATCAATCAGGGAATGGCTGAATGAGTTGTGGTATATGAATGTAATGGAATAGTATTATGCGATAAAAAATGAGGAGCATGTGAACTTCAGAAAAACCTGGAAAGACTTGTATGGACTGATGTTGAGTGAAGTGAGCAGAACAAGGAGAAAGTTGTACACAGTAACAGCCATGTTGTGTGATGACTAACTTTGATAGACTTTGCTCTTTTCAGCAATGCAAGGATCTAAGACATCTCCAAAAGTCTCATGATGGAAAATGCTATCCACATCCGAAGAAAGAACTATGGAGTTTGAATGCAGATCAAAGCAGACTATTTACTCTTCTTTTCCTTCTGTTTTGTTTTTCTTCTTTCTTGTGGTTCCTCCTATTGGTTCTAGCTCTTTACAACATGACTAATGTGAAAATATGTTTAATAAGAATGTATACCTAGAGCCTATATCAGAATGCATGCTGTCCTGGGTGGGGGGGGGACATAGGGAGGGAGAGGGAGAAAATTTAAAACTCAAAAGCATATGGAAATGATTGTTGAAAACTAAAAATAAATTAATTGATTAAAAAAAAGAATTTGGATTACTCCAGGTATTTACACTGGCTGACTTTGATGCTCTCCCTCCTGATCTCTTCCTCCTAGATTCCCTGGCTTCATTAAACTCTCAGCTGTAAAATGGGAATAAGCCACCCACCCTAGCTTACAGTTCTATTGCAAAGAAAGTGCTCTGTAAACCTTAAAGTTCTAAATCATGTCTAAATCATGGCCACTTCAATCTCATGACTGAATAGGGGTGTGGTTGAGCTGGATAAAGATGTGAGATACTTGGAGACATAGCAGGAGAAAGGTTTATCTACTTATTTCTTTAAATTAAGAGAAATGGGAGTGATTAAGAATACTGCTGGCTCTCCCTTGCCTCTAGTCAAAACCTTGCTAATAACTGGAACAATCAGCCCAGAGCTTGTGAATTGCCCCACCTCTTCCCATGCAGCTGTACTGATCTGTGACTGATAGCTGAGCTGAGCTATGACTCAGAGAGGTATCAAGGTGATGGCCTGGGTGACTTTCTGCAAAATTTAATTATTGAATTAACTATCAAAGCATCTTGATTTTTTTCACCTTCACTTAAGTTATCATACTCACTATCTTCAGCAGGGTCCTTTGACTTTTCTGGTAGTTTTATTTCAATTCAACAAACATTTAGTATTGGCAACCAAATTTCCACCTGCTTTCTATTTTGCTTTCATGAACTTTTATATTCTGGGACAGAAGAGTATTGAGTCTCATTTAGAGTGCTTACATTCTACTGTCCTCTTTTATTGTCAAATGTCACAACCTTACTGATGTTGAGGATACTGATACTAAAGATTTTTAGGGCCATATCTTAATTTTATAACTGCAAGCATAAATGGGAATTCTCAGTTTTTTTAGTTCCTTCTTTTGGCATCAAATCTTTAAAGTTTGTTCATTGACTCCTTCCAAGTTCACTGTAATGGAATGAAGATGGTAGACTCTTGGGTGCCAGATCAATGAGATTAAGACAGCAAAAACTTAGTTTTATTCATTTTCATGCATGTAACTAACTCAAAATGGCATACAGATTGATAATACAGTACTGAGAGATGACAGTAGTAGTAACTATTTTAATATTGCCTATAGATTATGAACTTACAAAGTAACTACAAAAAACTGATAAGTAACCAAATGAGTGAAATTACCAAACTTTATCTGTGAATTGGTTCTTTGAAACTAGCAACACGAAAAGCATTTCATGACTAGCGGTCACATTCCCAGGCTAGCCCACACAACCCTTGTTTGAACCACATAGCTGAAATGCTGTACATTTGTGATAAAAGAGCAGATGATATTATTGCAATATCAATATTGAAAGTAAAATCTTATAAAATCAGAAGAGGAGGGTGTGAGGAGGGTTAGAATTGTTTACATAGGAAGAGAGAGGGGGAAAAATGAATGAGACAATTTATATAAGGAAGGAGATAGCCCAGTGATAATTCCTGCTTCTTTTCTAGTCCCCAGCATGTCAGTGTCTAGGCAGATACTGGCTTACATATTCCTTTGAAGAACTAGCTGGGTGGAAGAATTGAAATCAGACAATAATCTCCCAAGCCTACCTTTCCCTAATCTAGTTCATCCTCTGAATGGCAAGTACCTTTGCGTCTCCAAACCCTCCTTCTTTCTTACCTCCCCACCTCCCAATCCCATTCAGGAAAAAAGTGGCCAGCCAGGGAAAAGGGTTAATAATAGCTTGTATAGCAGATAATTACAGGTCAGATGCATGGAATGTGTCACTGAGGACATGACATAGACATAGTGATCAAGGAAATCTAACAAAATGCTCTAGCAGGAGCATCTTTCTGAAACAAGTTCTCGGTACTATAAGTGTATAGCAAGAGGTGGTACTTCCTGAATGTGCCATTGATGAAAGCTCCCTCTCTTTCTTCTGATCTCCCAGGAGCTGGAGTCTGCTGATGGAATGAGCAATGAGATCCTTTCAGGCAGAGGTGGCATCTTTTTTTCCTTTCAAAGTGCAATTATTTTCCCAGCTGTGTTGATGAGGGAGGGTGTGCAGGGAGAGAGGCAATAAAGTGAAAGAAAGGAAGCAGGTAACATAAGGGAGACAAAAAGAGATTGAAAATGAGTGAGAATGTAACTCTAAAGCAAAAGACTTTTGCTTAGAGGATGAAAAAATGGGTCTTATATAGTAATTTGAAACTTTGTACAAACTGGTTTACATATTTGAATCAGACATGATGAATCAGAGCTACACTTTTAAATGTTTGTGATTGTAATTAGATCTATTTGGGAAAGAGCTGTATGTGACTTGTTGCTGTGTTTGTCCTTCGTTCTCGAAGAGGACCATGACATCAGGGAGATGATGACAGGACTTGCAATTGACTTTAATTTAAGTGAGGGAAGGCTGTGCAAGGTCACTGGCCTCACTTTCTCCTCCAGAGCCATCTGGGTCCAGTAGCCAGATATTCATCAGGATGACTGAAGATAGCCCAGGATGCAATGGGAGACCCTGGCCCTTTTAAGCTAAGGTCTCTTCTGGTTCTCACTTTGAGTAAGGCAACATCTATTCAGCGAAGAACTCTGTTTAAGAAGTGAGTCAAGGGATGGCCCCTTTAATAAAAAAAAAATCAAACTGGGAAGGGAAGACCCTCAGGATTGCTGGCCAAAAAGAAACAGTTACTATTTATATTCACCCTGAGCCGGGAGGGCCCCCAAATAACCATGAAGTGGCGCTTGGGCAGGGACCTATTGTTGTCCAGACTATGAGCTCCAGATTCTCATGCATGGGACTAGCATCTTAATGAACAGCTGGTTCTTTCGTTTTACCTTTGTGACTTCTGGCCATCCTTTAACTCATATGAACAAACCCAACCTCAACCCAGATCATTTTCATTTCACTTACAAGAAAGGGCTAAAAACTATTCAGGACCCTGGGGCAAAACATGCATAAGTGTGTATTGTGCTTACGTAATGCTCTCTGACAGATTCTCTAGCCCACCCCCGAGATCTTGAGAAGTGACGCTGTCCAAGGTAGGTGAGTAATGCGGTCCATGAAGTTTTACCCAATCTCTCACTCACGAGGGTGAGACATCTTCCTGGCAGCATATGTAGAGTCAAGGTCAAGCATATCCTTTATCATCCCTTCCCCTCAGAAGGAGCTCTTCCTATGCATAGGTTTTAATTTTCTATGGTTGAACTCAACTTACTTCAAAGTAAAATATGAAAATGAATTCAGCTTGCTATTGGTTTCTACAACTCTGTGAACTCTGGATGGCTGTAGTATGGAATCAGGTCACACAATTCTTGGCAAGCCAAGGAGCAAGGATTCCCAACAAACTTGAGGTATTTGATTTGGACAGTGATATTGAGTGATAAAGAAATAGTCTTACCGTTCTGCTGTGGCTAGTTGAAAGAGCCATTACATAGGTATCTGTTTCAGTCCTTATCTTAATTCTCTTAAAGTATTTCTTGTATTCCTCTTGGACCTGAAGATTTGGGAGGACAGAGAATTGAATTTTGACACAGAGGGTCAATTTAGCAGCCACATCACTGAAGTAGAAGTAGAAATATGTGTGTGTGTGTGTGTGTGTGTGTGTGTGCACATGTATGTGTGTGCTAATGTCTACTTTTTCCTTAATATTCTCTATGATTTAGATAAAGTTGATTAGGGTTTAGAGATTGAAGGAGCCTTCAAAATCATACAGTCTGATGAATTCATTTTATACCTAAAGAAACTAAACCCCAAGGACATAAAATAACTTGCCCGGGGTTACACAGCTAGGAAGAGGTAAAGCTGGAATTCAATGTCAAGTCCTGTGAATCCATGTCCAGTACTTTCTATTTTTCTTATTTGTAAAATTGAATTAAAGACACTAACCCATTGGCTCTTCAGGGGAAGTCACTTCCATTCTCCTGATGGTATCGTGAGATGCTTCTCATTCTTTCATTGTGTAACACTATTGCTTTGTGGTCAGAGGGCTTTTGAAAATGTTAGCTGTCTTACAGACCTCACAGGGGCTTATGAAGACAAATGAGATTATAGATGCAAAGATCCTTTAAAAATAAACCCAGGAGGGAAGAGCAAAGGAGTTTTAAGAGTTTAATGTTATTACTCTGCTGATGGACGTGATAAGATTTAGCATGGCTTAACAGGCAGCCGGATGACACAGTGGATAGAATGCTGGCCCTGGCTGGGTTCAAATCTGGACTCAGACATGCTGCGTCTGGTGCAAGTCCCTTAATTCTGTTTGCCTCAGTTTCCTCATGTGTAAAATGAGCTGGAGAAGGAAATGGCAAATCACTTCAGTATCTTTGCTGAGAAAACCTCAAAAGGCATCATGAAGAGTCAGCTATGACTGAAAAAATGACTAAACAACAACAAAAAGCTTGGTTTAGTGCATTAAGAGCCAGTTTGGGAGTGAAGAAGATGGATGTTCAGGTTTTTTTCTCTGACAGAATCTAGCTGTGTCACTTAGTTACTCAGTCCTCTAGGCTGCTATGACTCTAAGTCATAGGCAAGTTGCTGATGTATATTGATAAAGGGAATTTCCATTCCAAGGAGTCCCCTGTACTTAGGAAATCACAGACGGGGACTTACTCTCCAAAAAAAGTGCTCTAGAATATTAACTTACCTGTTGGTACTCTAAATGTGAGATCTGGGTTCAGGGCTCATTTATCTCAGTTCCTTTTTCTATCATAAAGTCCCTGTAATAGGAGCTTTGTGAGGGACGGGAGAAGAGTTCATATTATATAGGTAGGACAACAGAGGAAACAGTTCCCACATTTTGTACAGGGTTTGTTAGTTGCTTTCCATTCTGCTGTGCACTATTTTTAGTGAGGGAATTAGGAATTAGGCAGTTGGGCATCTGGGGAGATTAGGCAGCTGGGCATCTGGACCTCAAGGAAGGTCAAAAGTCTACAAGCAATCTCTTGTTGGGATATCTAAAGGCAGATGGAAAGAAATATCCTAGATGAGTTGGCAGGGTTAGGGTCCACATGATTTTGGCAGTGACTTTGGCCATGAGCATGTTATTACCCCAGGTGACCTGTCCTTGTTACCACTGATGGTTTGACAAAGAGGATTAGAGAAATATATCTGAAATGCTTCCTATGTTTTTATTGTAATCCTTTTTTTGGGAAAAAGGAACTAGTATTGTCATCAGGAAAACAGTGAAAGCTTCAAGAAAATTAAGAAAAAATTGCCCAACAGGTTACTGCCTGTTCTGCCAAGAACTATTTCTCCATCAAGAAAATGAGTTAAGGGAATCACAACAGAACTTTTGTTGTACAGTCAAGTGATAGGAAACCAGAAAATTGAAAACAAGGGAAGTAATCAGTCAGAAGGAGCACCCTCTCTGAAGAAAACATTTGAGAGAATACAGTGAGTCAGGAAAGAAATAGACAATGTGTAGCCATAAAATGGGAGCAAAGGATGGAAGTTACAAAGAGTTAAATTTGGTCTTGAAATAAGGAAACCTTTCCTAGGAACTAGAGCTATCCAAATGTGAAATGGGCTGTCTCAATGAGTGGCAGGATGTCTTCATGCAAAGACCAGGTGAACATATGTAGGGCAAGATGTAGAGGGGACATTTGTTCAGGTATGGATTGGACAAAATGGCCTCTGAGACCCTTTCCACTCTAAGATTCTATGAATCTGTACTTCTCGGAAATGGGACTCTTCATGTGAGCTGGCAAGAGGATGAAAGCCTCGTATTACCTGGCGGCTGAGGACACAGTGTACCAGGAAGATGTAGACGCCTTGCAGGGAGTTGATGATGGTGAAGGTGTAGGCAATGACTGATCTGGCTGGTTCATCTATAGAGTCAATCAGAAAGAAGCCAAGACTCCACGAGCAGCCCAGGATGAAGAGCTGAGCTAAGGCTTTAATTGCCAGGGTCCTGTGAAAACCAAGAGGCAGAGATGAGATTCATCTTTTATGTTTTATCTTCTACCCAACTCAGCATTTCCTATTCCCATCTGGTTGTTGTCTTTTGTGCTCAAAGAGGACCAAAATGACATCACTATGTTGGAGTCAAGGTACAGTGTGTCCAACCTGGCTGATCGGACCAATGTGAGCTTAGAAGGCTTTATCACAGGTCAGGCACAAATAGTCCATATCCTACTAACAAGCAAGATAATTTTTATGAAAAGCACTTAGCACAGTGCCTGGCACACAGTAGGTCCTACATAAATGGCTTTTACCCCCTTCTTTTCCTTTTCTCCCATTCCTGAGGATTATTTTTGACTACCCTTCTTCAAGGCTGCCTTTGCAGGCATAACTAACCTGAGCTTTGCTCATGTTCAAGTAATGACAGTAATAAGTAATAAGTAATTGGGGAAATTAATTAATAATAAATATAGAGCTGAAAGTTCTGGCCATTAACTTGAAGAGGAGCACATTGAATGTGTATTTTAAATTGTTTTTATATTACAGCTAGCACTACCCATCCTTGCACAATAGATAAGCTCCTAAAAAAGTAGCATATGAAACTATTGGCTTCTGTTATGTATGGCTATTTTTAAAGGAAATATATCTTGTTCTCTGTATATTGAAATGTTCATATTTTTAGTGATTGTGAAGTTCATGATAAAAAAGAAATTTTAATTTTATAAAAGATTTTTTCAGAAGTCATATGAGAGAAATATTTTTAAATGAATCACTTTTGCCAACATAATTTCTAAGGTGAAAGTGACCACAGTGGTCATCTAGTCCTACCTGAACTAGAGCAAGACTTTCCTCCCTCAAGTGGCAAAACAAATCTCTCCTGATGGGAAACTCATTAGTTTCTGAGGCAGCCCATTACACTTTTCCCATTGTCTCACATACAATGCTGATTGATTTCCACCTGGCAGTATTGGCTTTAGTTCCAGGGCTTAATGATAATTCTAGATCTATCAGAATGCAAAGGGGGAGTTGTTGGGAGAGGCCACTTGGTTTTATTGGACAGACAACTGGACTTGGAGTCAAGAGGTTTAAGTATAAGTCCCATCCCTGTGACTTATATAGCTAGGTGACCTTGGACAGGTCATTTATTCTTCTTAAAATGGGATGATAATGTCTATTGTGGTATACCTTGAAGGACAATAGTGAGCAAAATTCTTTTTTTTTTTTTGTGAGGAGAATTCTTTATTAACTCTAAAGTACCTTATAAGTGGGAGCTATTCTCTTCCTCCTCCTCCTCATTATTATTACCCAATAGAAATATACTGTTAAGGTGCTGAATCAGCTCAGCCCACAGAGTTCACAGAACTTCAACATTGGGAGGGACCTGGGAGGCCAGACTAGAGCAACATCGTCCTCTACAAGTTACCTAGCCAATAGCCCCACACTTTTGCTTTAAGATTCCCCTAGTTCCCTAGACTTTTCTGGCAAGGAAGGGGCTGACCAGCTTACCTTGTGTTTTGGATGGTGGACACTTCTTTGTTGAGTGATGAAAGTCTCTCTCTCAAAATCCACAGGGTTGTCAAATAAAAGGTCAAATTTATCTATAAGAACAATAAGAAATCTTTGAACCAAACTCTGGGGCCAATATTTACAACTGATATGGCTGTAACCCTCCAACCAATGGACCTATCAGCTGGTTCCCCAGTATTGTTGTTATTTAGTCATTTTCAGTCATATCTGACTCTCCATGACCCCATCTGGGGTTTCCTTGGCAAAGATAATGGAGTGGTTTGCCATTTCTTTCTCCAGCTCATTTTACAGATGAGGAAACTGAGGCAAGCAAGGTGAAGTAATGTGCCCGGGGTCAAACAGCTAATGTGTCTGGGGTCAGATTTGAACTCAGGTCCTTCTGACTCCAGGTTCAGCATGCTATCACCTGTGCCATCTAGCTCCACCCCCCACCCAGCATTGGAGGATATTATTTAGGCCATGTTCAGAAAGGAATAGGACACACAGATCTGGTGAAAATGCTCAAGGGTGCTCTACTGAGGTGTAAGAGAACCACAGGTAGATGACAAGACTGCATCAGAACAGGGATGCGTGAAGGAAATGTTGGAGCAAGGCACGACTTCAAATGAAGTGAATTACATGCTGGTATTTACTGAGTGTTTCAAAATTTGCAAAGAGCTTTATAAACGGTATCTCGCTGAATCTTCACAATAGCTCTGTGAGGTAAATTCTACAGGTATTAATATCTCCTTTTTACAGAGGAAGAAACTGAGGCAAAAAGATATTAAATGACTTGCTCATGGTTGTACAGCTAGTAAATGTTGGAAGAGATTTGAAACCAGGCCCTTCTGATTCCAAGTTCAGGAGTTGATTAACTAGTCCATGTTGCCTCTTTCTTTACATAATTGGACCTTTAGATTAAGATACATGTCAAAAGTGGATATGACAACTTCATTCTTATGTTCAATGACTGATTCTGTTACAGTTTTAATACAGGATCATAGATTTCTAGATAGAAGAAATTTTAGAAGCCATCTAGTACAATGCCCTTATTTTATAAATGAAGAAAAACAGAATTGGTTTGATTGTTATCTTAATGCAGAAAATCCCCAGATTTTTTTTTTCATTCAGCCCTAATCTCTCTGCTGCCCTCCATCCTCATGTAAGCAACTGCAGATTGGGTGCTCCATGGGCATTTCCAACTGAACGCATCAGAAACATAATTTGTTACTGTCCCCAAATTTCTTCTCTTCCGATCCTCCTCGTTCCTGTTTAGGGGACCACCATCTTCCTAGTCACCTAGGCTTACAACCTCAGTGTCATCCTAGTACCCTCATTCAGAATTACTCCAAATATCCAGTCTGTTTCCAAGTATTGGTTCTACTTTCTTTTTTAATTTTAATTTTTTTAAAGGCAATTGGGGTTAAATGACTTGCCCAGGGTCACACAGCTAGTTAAGTGTCTGAGGTCAGATTTGAACTCAGGTACTCCTGACTCCAGGGCTGGTGCTCTATTCACTGCACCACCTAGCTGCCCTTGATTCTACTTTCACAACACTTCTCATATACATATGGTTATACCTTGACCCCAACATAGCAGTGTCATTTTGGTCATCTTTGAGAAGGAAGGATAACAACAATGCACATAACCTTCTCTCGAACTGTGCCAGCACCCTGGTCCAGAGTCTCATCACTTCTCACCTGGACTATTACAATAACTTTTGGGTTAGTCTCCTGCCTCATTTCTCCCCACTCCAGTCCATCATCCATTCAGCTGCCAAAGAGGTCTTCCTAAAGCTCACCCCACTACTCAATAACTTGTGGGTCCCTATTGCCTCCATGTTCAAAATTAAGATCCTCCAATTTAATGGCTTTCAAAACCTGGCCCCTTCCTACCTTTCCAGCATTTGAACACTTTATTGCCCTCCATGTGTTCTACAATCCAGTGACCATGATTTATTGTTTCTCACACGCAACATTACGTCTCCAGAACTCTCGCCTTTTACCTGATTGCCACCCAGGCCTGGAATGCTCTCTTTGTCTCAATCTTCTGACTGACCTAACTTCCTCATTGATATTTTTTATTTCAGAAATAAGAACTGAGAAACTTTTAAGCATATTTATTCATTTAAGAATAACAATAAACCTACTACATAATAACATAAATACCATTTTTTATTCTAAAAAGTCTTTTTTTTCCAAAACAAAAATTTAGTGAGTGCCATTGCTTATACATATCTATATGCATACATGCCACACACACACGCACACACACACATGCACACACACACACACACACACACACACAGATAGTTAGATGATAGATATAAACACACATAAATATCTTTGCAAATCTCTTTACTGCTTTGATGTCTGGCTTAATAGAAGGCTTTTGTATTCAATATGTTGTGATTTTTTTTCAGTTCAAGTATATGAAGAAAATTGAATCTTGCCGATATTTAGTTGGAAAAAGGATGAGTATGTTAATAGGCAGATAGCATCTTACTGTTTTAAAGGACAGCTATCTGGCACAGTGGATAGAGTGCTGGGTCTGAAGTCAGGAAGACTCATTTTCATGAGCTCAAATCTGGCCTCAGACACTTATTAACTGTGTGGCCTTGGCTAAGTCACTCAACCCAGTTTGCCTCAGTTCCTCATTTGTAAAAATGAGCTGGAGAAGGAAATGGCAAACCACCCCAGTATTTCTGCCCCCCAAAAAACTCACATGGGGTCACCAAGAGTCAGAAATGACTAAACAGCAAAATTTTCTTTAAACATAATTTTGACTTTGAGGACAAAACTATTGTCCTCCCGGGGATATATGGATCATTCTTTGATAACCAGTGGACTCAGCTCAGATCCCATCTTCTGTAATAGACCTTTCCCAGTTCCCTGTACTTCCTCCACACACCCCCAGGGCCTTGTGGCTTTTCCTTGAGATTTCCTCCCATTTATCCGGCATATTTCTTATATGTACAGAGTTGATTGCACGTTGTCAGTATTACTAAAATATGAACTCCTTAAGGGCAGGGAATGTGTTTTTGCCTTTCTATCCCTAGCACCCAGCACCCAGCCTAGCATAGAGTAAACATTTATACATATTTATGGATTGACTAAGTAACTTATCCCATGTCATCTAGGGAGTAAGCAGAATCCAGATTTGGAGTCAAGTGCTGCGATATTAAATCCAGTGGTACTTCCACTGCCCACTATTCTTTTTGATTTTCAGCTCATTTTGACTGAAGCAGAAAATAAAAGGTTGTTTTTTGACTCACCAACGTGATGACAAATACGGGTCCTATGAAACTCCAGATAAATCCTTTTTCTATCTTCAACCAGCAACTGGAAAGAGGAAATAGCAACAGCTGTAAATGAGCATTTTTTACTGGAGTATCCAGCCTGGCTTTGGGGATTTGGGCAACCAAGTCAGGATCAAGGGGAGTATCTGCTCCCCAAGAGGATCTTTGTATCTCCAGAGGCTCTCCTAGGGCCTGACACATAGGAGGTCCTTTATGCACACTGGCTGAGTTGAATTGAATTAATAATAGCTCACATTTCCTTGGCCTTTTAAGGTTTGCCAAGCCCCATCCTCCCAATGACCCTGTGAGTTAGACAGTAGAAGTACTGTTATTCCTATTTTGCAGATGAAGAAAATGAGGCTCTGAGAGGTCGCAGGACCGTAGATTTAGAACTGGAAGGAACCTCAGAAGTAATCTAGTGCACCTTCCTCATTTTAGAAATGAGGAAACTGTGGCCCAGATGGTGAAATGCCTAGTTCCGGGTCACCCAAATAGGATGTCATAAGCTGGCTCTCCGATTCAGGTCACTAGGCTCCCCGTCCACTTCTCCAACTATTATATGAGTTTCCTAGAAATTTATAATCTGATTGGAGAGACAACATTAAAGCACATTAAGCGATCAGAGAACAATTGAAGATTCTAGTTTGAAGATGTTGGTTGCAATGAAAGCAAGATATTGGGTCTAGTTAGACCCAGGCATCAGGCTGCCCCAGGGCACTGACAGCCCTTATCTGCCTTCAAAAAAGTTGAAAGGACTGCGATTAGCACCTAGTTAGTCACCCAGGATTTATTAAGCTCCTGCTATGTACCAAGCATTGTGCTGAATGCTGAAGATGGCCATCAGAACTTCATGAAACATACTTGAAAAATGAGGTTTATTACAAGAGAAATGAACATGCATGTGGAACCCTATGCAAGTGCGAAGAGTTCACATTCCAAACAGAAGCTGGCATGTTTATGAAAGTGCAACCAAGGAAAGACGAGGAAACAGAAATCTCCTCCTAAGTGGGAGTGGTGTGGGAGGAGGAAATGAGCAGCAGGGCTGGGGAAAGGACTAAACCCCTCCTGAAGGGGATGAGCAAGATGATGGTAGAAGCCAAATTCTTTTCCCTCAGAAACTGCTAGACCAGGTGCTGGAAGGCCACATTAATATTTAGCTGTAAGAAATAAAATAAAAATTTGAAAGATGAACAAAAATGTATTAATAAAAATAAAAGGATTTGTTCTGTAAAATTTTGATTCAGTCCAAAGGCTGCACTTAAGGACCTAGAAGGCCACATGTGGCCTTAAGGCTGCAGGTTCCACACTACTGTGCTAGACCATTACGATGGGATGGTCTGCTTATCTACAAGGGTCCCAGCTGCACAAGCAATTTCCGGGTGTAGTGCAGATTGACTGGTGCCTGTCTTGACTCCAAAGACACACAGGGCTTCCAGCTTGGGGTGCAAACAAGAAATTATGTCAGCTGTGGGGGGAGGGGTTCATCCTTGACACATTTAGGGTCTCCTGCACACTTTGGGTCCAGTGTTTCTGGCATATATGGCAATTCAAGAAGATAAGTTAAGTTGGATTCAGGGCAACATTTCCCCATTGTAGTCAAGGCAGCACTAATGACCACACCTGATTAAACGTTATCTTGGATGCCACCTGGGCTGAGCATCTGGAGGCAAGGGTACAGAGATAGTTACCAAAGATAAAGGTGAGCAAACAGAAAGCTAACAAGAGACCCTACCCCTGAAGGATGGTCTGAGCCCTTGGGGAACCAGCTACACAGACCCAAATTCCATTGCTCTGTAGCATAGAAATAAGAAGCCTTTTCTTCTAAGGCTGCAGGGCCTTCTTGTATCATACCAGATCACTTAATAAAGAAACAACATTCTTTTCTTCTCCAATACAGGTACAGGCTCCACCCTGTGCTGCAGCCAAGGCATGAACACGACAGCTGTTCAGGACCACTCCTGAAAGTAAGAAGCTCCTCATGAACAGCAGAGATTAACTACGAAGTAGTATTTATCGATTCAGCAACTTATGCAGAGACATCCTATAGGGCAGCCTCAAGAGAGACCATGGCAAACCATGGGAAAGTGAAGCAGAAGAATGTCCACCACCCAGAATTGCCCTGGCCCAGGGCAAAATCAGGCAGCTTCCAGAAGGCCAAGGTTGGAGACAAGTGTTGCCGGAAGATGGGGCCTGTGGCCAATATCAGGCATCAGTGTAACAACTCCACACCACACTGCCCAGTCCATGGAGGGGGAAGAGAGAGGCAAACGTCATGGCCATAAACCCAGAAGAGTCCCTGATTCACTCAATCATGTTTGGCAGCATAGGTGCTGGGGGAGGAGGGTGCGAAATCCCTGGAGTAGGGCAAAAAGGGATTCATCTGTATGGTCACAAGGGGAATTGCAGTGAAGGTAGCAGTGCTCCCAGTACAAACATTAAACACCAGTGGGGTTCCAGGCAGCAGACAACAAGGGCTATGGTCACAATCAGAGTGCACTCCAGCAAAAATGCAGTAGCCAGTTAGGGCATAGGACTGAACAACTAAATGCAATAGGGGCCTGGAATACAGGAAATGACCTGGTTAGATCTACCATGATTGTGTAATCAACACAGAAAGAGGAACAGTCCCTACAAATTGTAAGGAAGGGTGGTGGGGAATCTCAATACAGAGGGATAAGTTCCTGGTCAAACATGATATTTCATGAACAGGTTCATCTGCCCAGGGAATGAGTCCACCCAAAGAGCTGGCCAGCACTGGTGAGTTGGCATATCCTAGCTTTAATACAGCTAAGAGTATCATGGAGTAGTCAGTTCCCCAAACTGAAATGGGTGCGATTACTCCAAGTAGTTCAGAGCCAGGCCCCAACAGTGAAGGCCTGTTTCAGGCACAAATCCAGCAGGAAGATATACTAGCCTACTGGGCAGCCATCTGCAGTGGAATGTCACAGGGATGCTGAACTGAACATACAGCAGACAGGAATGTACACGGTACGAAAACCAAAGGAAGCACCATGATTTAGCAAGGCTTATGAAAATACATGCAACATGAATGAGAGGTTAACAAAAACAGAGAAAGACAGTTAATGAAGGTAAGAGCACAAGGGCAAAGGTAAAGATGTAGGATATTGGGACAGCTATCACCTCAGGATGTCAGCGGCCTCTGGGTCCACTGGAAGTGAACCATGAGCCCTTCTCTGCGTTGTCAGATTCAGGGCAACAAGATACAAAGAAAGGCAAAAACGGTGTCTGACATCAAAAAGCTCCCAGTCAATTGGGAGAAGCAACATGCCAGCAAGTTGCATATAGGATAAACTGAGGTAATCTCAGAGTGAAGGCTTGCTGCTGCTGCTGCTGTTGTTTTTCTTTCTTTGTTTTTGGAGAGGACCAATGGAATCACAATTGGGGTAAAAATGAATGATAGGTGATGTCTTGACTGGTGTGTGAATTGGATTTAAGTGAGGCAAAATTGAGCAAAGTCTTCAGCCCCACTCTCTTTTCTAGAGTCATCAAAGTCCAGTGGCAAGACAAAAGTCAAGACTATTGGTGATGGCCAGGGTGCATTAGATGATCCTGGCGTCT